GTGAGTTGTTACACCCCTAACAAATATTTTTTTTTTCAAATCTATAGCATAATTTGTCATTTTCTAAAAATGACTGGACTGATGGTTCATAAAGCAGTAATTTTTTTTTTTATATGCTTTTTTAACTAATAACTTACTACTAAGTAAGTTTGAATGCGTTTAAATAAATAACTTTTTTTACCAATAACTTTAAACTCTAATATGAAAGTTTACTTGTTATTCTTTTAATAAGAACATCCAAAACTGTGGAATATTTGTTCACAAATAATAGCTTGTTCACATCATGTCAGGAACCAGATCAGTCCAATTTGTGAATCAGATCATTGTTCAATTTGATATCATTGTTGAAACATGAGTTAAAATGTAAGTGAAGGACACAAAGTATAAAATCTTTGGAAATATTTTGCACACCAATGGACTTTTTTCACATTTCCGGGGCTCTAGGAAGTGGAGGTCATAGTGGTGAACAGAAACTACAACAAATATCATTTTTGCATTATCATTTGCTCCAATAGTAAGAAAAGAGACAAGAGAAAAATGTCAAATTTGCCATCATGCTCCAGCCGTTGCATTAGAAACACTCTGTAATGTAACGCAACAAAAAGTACAGTGTTATTAAAATTTAGAAGATCATATTGACAACAAATGATATGCTGCATACAAGTTTGCAAGGGTCAAAAGATCCTTTTGCCCCTTTCAAAGCGCACCCAGGGTGGCACGAGAGACGAGACCCTCTGCCGAGATCATCAATAACTTGAGGGTTACATTCAGATGCCAATGACTGATAGGGAACGAAAATGTAGTAGATAGATGACACAAAGGAGCGGGGCGCCATGACTGATGTTGCTACTTAAGCACTGCGCGTTTTCTAATTATGTGATTTATGACCATCATTGCAGATTCACTGGCTCGCTCTTTTCAAGACCACTCGGCTCTCCTCCCCTCTTTCTACCTCCTCGCTCCATTATTGCAGCATTTATCTGCCGAGAGGACATTTTAAAAGATCCTTTTAATTAACCATCTTACACACTCTCTAAGCCGGGTAACTGGTTATTCAACGCAAATTAAGTTTTAAACAAGTGCGCATGGGTGCATACAAATGGGTGCCTTTTAAATGTTTTGTCACTGCATCAAAAGTGAGATAGCGACGCGAGCGGCAGTTCAGATTGTTGCTGTTTTTGGTTATCGCAAGGAAGTTTGGACTCTCATCTTCATTCCAGACAGGCATCTCATCAAATTCACTCTTCCCGTGTGTATCGTAGTGATTAAAAAGGTGACAAAACACAGAAGACTGGCGATACCTCCTCAGTGACAAGTTCTCACTCTGAAGCCATGCTGTAAGGCCTGGGCTTTTTACCACTACACTAACTCTCCACATATGCACGCATAATCTGCATGAAATTGAGCAATGTTTAGCTCCAACAAAGGGGATAAACTTTTTGACAAACTTTTGGAATATTTTAAAACCTTGAATCCTAACAATTTCTTTCACGGTTGCTGTTGCCAATGACATTTTTGTTTCGGGGCATATCCTGCTAAATGACATTCTAAGCATAGACTGTTATTTAGACAAAAAGAGAGATCTACAGAACATTTCAGACTTCCACACTTTCGCACTCATTAAGTGACCGTCACCCATGGCGACGCACCTTGGTGATGTGGTTGCCATAGTGAGCAGGGGAGAGGTTGGCGGCTTTTAGCTACAGAGTCAGGGCTGAGTGCATGGCCAATGACAGGTCAATCAGTTAGCGCAAATGAAAGAATTTCGCAAACAGGAGGCCCATTACAGAGAAGAGAATTACCTCAACGCTGTCTACCCTGTGGGGTGCTGCCTACAATCTAGATTTCTTTCAATCACAGCTCATTACCCAGGTGCGAAATATCCAGGGAGAAGACTTCGGCTCTCTTTACACTCTTTTCAATCACAGCACACCTCGCTTTTCAGACCGATGAGCTTTGTAAAAATCGACGTGTTTCAGAAAGGCGGAGTATAGAGGAGAAACAATAATGTACAGTATGTGGAAAATAATGTGTTTTTTTAACCTTAAACCGCATAAACACATTTCATTACACCAAATACACAAAACAATGTTCTTTTTAGCAGCATCATATGACCCCTTTAAAGACCAAGAAAGGTAGTAAGGACATTATTAAAATAGTCCCGCAATTTTATGAAGCTACGAGAATACTTTTTGTGTGCAAATAAAACAAAACTAATGACTTTATTAAACAATTTCTTCTCTTCTGTATCAGTCTTTGACGCACGTTCACGAAAGCACTGCGACGAATGCGTGTGGTGCTGCTGACGTAGAACCCGAATCCGTTGAGGCTTGTTTGCAAACAGAGGAATGCACATGCATGCATTGTGGTACTGTCATGAACGTGTGTCAAAGACTGACATGGAAGAGAATAAATTGTTGAATAAAGCCGTTATTTTTGTTTTTGTCATTCTTTTTGTTTTCTTATGGTTGACCAACTGATGTCACATGGACTATTTTAATGATGTCCTTACTACCTTTCTGAGCCTTAAATGTGGTAGTTCCTTTACTGTCTATGCAGGGTCAGAAAGCTCTCAGATTTCATCAAAAATATCTTAATTTGTGTTCCAAAGATGAACCAAGGCCTTACAGGTTTGGAACGACATGAGGGTGAGTAATTAATGACATAATTTTCATTTTTGGTTGAACCATTCTTTTAAAGGGGTCATATGATGCGATTTCAAGTTTTCCTTTCTCTTTGGAGTGTTACAAGCTGATTGTGCATAGATAAGATCCCGGAAGTTGCAAAGACTTAAGTCTCAAAACCAAAGAGATATGCTTTATCAAAGTTAAGACTCTGACACGCCCCCCTAAAACGGCTCGTTCTAACACGCCCCCACATATCTACCTCACTATGTGGAAATATTTGCATAATGCCGCCCAAATGTGCACACAAAGAAAGAAGGCGTGGTTTCAGTAACTGCAGTTAGTGTTGAAGCAGCCATGTCAGGGAGACTCTGTGTGTTTCTAGGCGAAAGCAAAAGCACTTTATTTGGCCTTCCGAAAGTAGATGCATTTAGGAATCTTTAAGATTACTTACAACAGAACAGCAATGCATTTTATGGCCGACCGTTTCGTGAACCTAGGAGAGGAGGTAATTCTGACTTTGCTATGACAATCTAGCGCTTCTGAATCAGCTACTGTTTTGTTATTAGTTTAAGTATTTGCTATTGACTGTTCAAATGCGGTGTTTTGCGCATCGTGTGTGTGTCTGTGTGTGTGTGCGCGTGCGGGTGTATGTGAGAGAGAGAGAGCGAGAGAGAGAGAGAGAGAGAGAGAG